TTTATCAAGAGATTATGGCCTACTAAAAAATCTCTATTTTTCTTTATTTATATGGGCCTATCATAGTTTGATGTACAATACTTCTTTATCAATAAATTTATGACTATTTTATAAAATTAATGTTTATCTACGCACCTCTTAAAAATAAAAAGAAATTTATTTTAAAATTATATTAAAATTATTTGGATGCCCATGCACAATTGGGTAGTTCCCTTCGGTTTGTTTGCTCCCCTATAGTAATTGTTTATATAATTCTTGTTAATTAATAATTATCTATACTTGATTGTGTATTTATATTATAGATGAAATCTTCTATTAATAGTGTTATAGATTTAATTTTGCTTTGTTATACCAATATGGCAAAATTTATTGGAATTTCTAGATAATCTTTCTCCATTTTAATGAATCTCTTGAATTTTTATTTTTTTTAAAATGGTTTTTTGTAGACGGTTGCCTAAGAATGGGTTTAACAATAGACTATCTCAACAACTATATTTTTGTCTTGTTAATTGGTCCAGATGAATTGTGCTAACTAGCAGCATTTGTCAAATCTATAATATATCTTCTTTTTTTTTTTTTTGAACAAGAACAATTACGGGAGAAGAGAGAAAATGGATTAGCTCATAGACTAGAGAGTCATTAATGATTCATAGGTCAAGTGCAAATATTTAAATAGTTGATAAAACTTGAATTTTCAATCAATTTTTATTTAAATACTAAAACTTAAGATGAACCATTAGACACCAAAGAAGTGGTTCTGTGGTATATCTAGTTGAATTGTAACATTCATGTATCATTTAGATTGCTTAATAAATTTGTATTACATTTAGTTTGTGCTATACTTTTAAGTTTTGTAGGGTCTCCGTCGTGCTATATCCTTTGGGTTAGTCACTAACCCTTATCTTTTCTTACTGAAGAAGAATGCTAAGTCGAGTTCTACTAATAATATCCATACATAATTCCTTAAAATTAATAGGCAATCCATACAAATATAACCCATCATTTTCATTTGGTCCCAAACAAAGACAGATGAGAGGAAGAGACACAAAATCAACTTCTACAGTTTCATTTTGATTCACTTTCCCACAACAAACTTCAATCTAACTGCTTCATCTTCCGAAACTTGAGTTCCCAATCCCAAATGATTCATCAATAACCAAACGAAAGTCAGAAGTTCGCCCCCGTTACTTGGTTGCTGCGCATGGACATTTGCCCTACAATTAATTGCTGCATAGGACATGAATTCTACCCAAACTTTGCTCATCAGTTTCCATCGCTCACCCTTCAACTTCTGGAGTTCGCCAGCGAGGATTCCTGCATCAAACAATACCGATTTGCTTTCTCCACCTTTTAAAGCCCTAGGCTTCATTTTTGCTCCCACTTTACGGATCGCTTCGCAGGCCTCCTCTGTAGTTGAAACGGGATGTTCAGACAAGAATCTCTTGGTCTCTGCACATGTGTCTTGGAATACCAATTTCCAATTACCGGACACTGGGGCCATCATTGTTGGCTGGATCATCAGAAGGTAAAACATATAATCCGAAAGTAACTTGCATATTGCTTTATAATCAATATTCTCAGATGAATGCCCGTCCTCAGCTTTCTTTTCGTCACATAACTCGACCTTAGCTTTGTCTTCGAAACATAACGAGACCTTAGCTTTGTCTTCGTCACATAACTCGACCTCAGCTTCGTCTTCGTCACATAACTCTGTCGCAATGTGCCACATTAGAAGGCTTTCCGTGTATTCAAAATCCTGAATGCTCCGCCTAACATTCTCATTTTCACATTTGCTGAGAATTCCATCCCCTCTCTTTAAACAAATCCTCTTACCCTCCGCCACGGTCTTGGCATTCTGAGACTTTTTCCTCAGTTCTTTAAAAATGAAGCGCCATTCTCGATCTTTTCTGAATTCCTCGGAGGACCGATGTCGCATTCCATTAATGACTTCCAAGATGCTCCCCAAGCGCAGAGCTTCGGCCAATTTGTTTATCCATTCTGGATAATCATTTAGGCAATAAGTAAAAAAATTGTACTGAGACACAGATCCAGACCACCTGCGCCTATTGATAACTCTAGATGCTATATATTCGGCCCCCTTGCCCCAATACTGGCCACGAACAGTCCAGTCAGATAAAATGACAAAGATGAGAGAAATGAAGTCCAATACCATAGCACCAATCAGTAAACCGTAGCTTAGCCTGATGTCAAACATTCGGAACGAATGCTTCTTAACAAAGAAGAATGAGAAGAAGGCACCCAAGATGCAAAAAAAACTAATACTGCGGAAAATGTATCCAGTTTTACATCGTACCACCTGCACCTTGGTATGAAGAACCTCATACAAAATGCTCAGCTCAATCTCTATGATTTGGATCACGTATTTTGAATTTCGGTTGAGAAAAAATTCTCGGCTCACATGGCGTTCTTGTGGACTAAGAAGAAGTCCTGCAATTAACCCCTTGAAAGTATCAAAGAACTCAAATGCAAATCTTAATATTGCCCTTGAATCAGAGTCATCTACTGGTTGGCCTTCTAGGTACTCCATGTTTTCAGAAATCTCTGGTCTTCTTATATTTCGTGTTTGTGCTGGAAGGTGAGCTCGTCTGATTGAAGAGTACATCTTCTGAATCCTTTGATATTCAGGGCCGGGGTTTGGCTTCCTACATGCAGATTCTCCAAAATGATTCAAGCTTGCAAGATACAAAGCACGATTCCGCTCTGCATATTTGATTATTCCTGCAATAAACATGAACCCGGAAGGAAGCCACAGAATGTTCTTTGGGAGTGACTGAAGGAAGACATAGACGGTAGAAAGAACCTGTAATGCAAGCCCGAGCATGTGCCTCACCCACAACTCGTTGTCCTCTAGGGCGAAAGAGGTAATCGTGTCGGGGCCACCAAGATGCAGCAAAAGAAATGGTGCCCAAAAAGCCAAGATGTCATTGCTTTCACGGCTAGTCGACGTGTTAGCCTGACTGATGGGGGTGAGTCCAAGGCCGCTAGAGATGAGTCCAATGGCAACTGTAGCAACCCAGTCCGCAAGCAGATAAGCTGACCAGATTAACATGACAATTTTCCATCCACCTCTTCGTTTTCTTGATGATGCAAACATAATTAAGAAGGCTTGCAGTGAGAGACTGATAATAATGAGTCCTCGAAGATTCCATCTATCCCATAGCTTCCTGAT